AAAGGCACAGTTTACTACGATGGAACAGGAAATGATACCGGAATTTTTGTGCGGATTAATCTTTTGAAAGTTACAGACTTTCATTTACAGCTTAAACGACAAATAGTCTTAAACGTTTTTTTTCTTTTTTTTTTCCTCCCTTTTCCTCCTTCTTCTTCTTCTGCTGTATTAAAAGATGAGAAGAAAATTGAATAATAGAAAAAAAAGCAATACCATCTTGTTGTCAGATTTACCTAAATTTTCTTCTCTTATAAAAAAAAAAAAAGAAAAGAAAAGGAGAAAGACTGATCTGTTGTTGTCGTTGTTGTTTGGTATCCCGCATCTTATCGTTTATCGCTTTCAACTTGAACTAATCTTTTGTTTGCCTTCTTCCCTTTTTTTTTTTCCTTGTCACCTCATGTTTTGCATGAAAATTTTATTCTTAAATTCAGTAACAACAACAGCAGCAATTCTATTTTTCACATCTTGTAACAAATCCATCCTAAATTCAAGTTTTTTCCTCATCTTCTTATTTTTCCACCTTTATTTATTTAGTCTCTTAGTCAATAGTTTGTTTATAAACGGATATGTTATGGCAACTGTTGTAGTGGTAATAAAAGTAAACTCAAATAAATGATATTTTATGATGAAAATTAATACTTGAAAACAATTTTTATTGTATATTTTATAAAGATGGAACTGATAAGGAAAAAAGCAATCAGGAAAACTAAACTGAATAAATTAGGACTGAAGTCAAAGCAGTAATAATGTCTCAGTATTAGAGAAAGAAAAAGTAAAATAATAGCAACAACAACAACAAAAAAAAAAATACCACTTAATAGTTTTACAGCTTTCATTTTCACCAATTTGAAGCAGTCTTTGTATCAACAAAAATATTTGAAAAAAAAAAATTATGCTTGATCAGTGAATGAATTATCCTCTGTTTTGGGCTCCAAATTGATAATGTATACTCAACTCGGTTATATAACTGTTGGTAATAAAAGTTTTTTATTGTGTTGTCCTTTGATCTGCTTTTAATACAGTAGAAAATATGCCCAAAAAACTTTTTCTTACTTCTGTCTTACATTTTAATAGACATATAAAAAAAATTTCATTGCAGATTTGTATCTGTAGAATTGTCACATTTCTTTTTTTTCATGTCAAAATTAATCATTAGTTATTTGGCTAAACTATTTGACTTTAAATTTATATGTGTTAGTAATGGGATGAGATAGAAAAAACCTTTTCAAGTAATTGTTGCTAAAAAAATTATTTTGCCCATCAAAGTAGAGCAAAAAATACAAAAAGAAAGAAAGAATAGGTAGTATTTGTCAGCTGTTTTTAATGTATCGTCATCTTCATTGAGAGCATTGAAATTCTGGTCACAACAGCAGCGACAAAACTGTTTTAGTTGTTGTTTTGACCTTGTAACTAAACTATTCAATAGCAGAATGTTAAGGCAAAAGTTTGAAGAGCAAACAGAACAGCAGTAGGAAAAAAAAAAA